CCACTTTTATAGATTTAATGGAGACTGTTGCCATACCAAATGTCATGTCATCTTGGTCTTCGTAGCTTGGGTAATAATTCAGCCCCAAGTTGCTGAGGTCAGACAACAAGTCGATAGTGAATTATTCTTCTTTATTCTTCTTTTTGATTCTTATTATTTATGATAAATAAAACGCAGGAATAAATAAGCTAACTTCGGCCATTTCTGCTACACTACTCCATTCTCGCATAAATGTATCGGCATAATTCAAAGAGCGCTGTCCCTAATTCCATATATAGAACGAACCTAGCATCTTGTGACGGCGTACATTGGACAAAATCTTTATTACCTCCCACTTGCACTCTGCAGAAACTGATGTTTGCTCCGCCTTCCATAACTAATTACTTGAGCCATAAAATATGCTGGCAAAGCATTGGTTCCATAAAAAGCAAATAAGTATGGTTCTGAAGCGTGCCCTTGACGGGTTGTGTGTTAACGCAATCTGACATCAGACTGAGGTACAATTAGCGTACACTACAGCCTGTAGTTAGTTTCAGGTCAAGTTGATAGTTAATTACTATTTGAGAGCAATAAGAACAGTTTTTTTACCTCAAATTGAAGAAATTATTCCGTCGATGATTTTTTCACAACAAGAAGATTATAGATTCATTGTATAACTGAATAGATATTCTACATTTTTTTATTATAAGTACGAAGTGTGAAATGCTCTAACTCGTTTGTCTCATTTGATCTAATTAAACCGGGTTGAAATTGCAGTCAGTCATGTAATTTTAAGCATTGTAAGAGTCAAAACAGAGTATATTTCATTTTTGAAATTTTATTTTTCTTGAGCAAACCAATCAACAGTCTCTGAAAAGCAAGCGTGTCATTCGTAAAGGGGATTTACAAGCAATTCGGATGGATTCCTACTTGAATCGTTACGTCAGGCCATGTAGCCATGTTAAAGTTTCTACAAAATTATCACGTGTATACTTCTGAGTCTCGTTTCTTAAAAATTTAGATCTTATCCAAAAAATATTAATTCAAGCTAAGCTTCTCGGTTAGGGTGTTACTTTTAAATGGTATCCTTCACCACTGCCGTGAATTCGACTTCCAAACAGTCATTAAGAGTCATTTTATCAGATAGTTCCTTTGCTCGTACTGATGTACATAGAATACCCACACGATATTAAAGTGTACATTTGCTTAATACCGTCACCAACTAGACAGCAATAAGTCGTTTTATGGAGAACTGACCGGAATAAATAAGATTTTGGGTTTATAGGCACTACAGAGAGAATTCTGGCAAATCTTTATTGAGACGAAAGGACGCATTCTTACTTTAACGTTCTTTATAGTTCAGTTGATCGAAATGAGCTAGGATCAGACCCCGATTTTTATGAGCAGATGATCTTTGGTGGAGGCTATTTTTGCAGAGCTACTCTTTATTTGAAAAGAAATGACGCTTTTGAAAGATTTTAATTAGACAAACTAGCATTTCTAAATTAATGTAATCATAGTTTGAGATCAACAATAGATACTCTATATAAAGCTGACTCATTTAGTTGCCAATAGCCAGAGTAGCTGTTAGCATGTTATGATAAATACCACCAGAAAAATGCGCAACAAATAAGAAGGAAACTTTTAAGGGAATAGCATTATCCAAAATTGTAAAAAAATATATTAAACAATTCATGATTAGTAATGAAGGGGGTACATAATCGGGTAATACTATCTGAATGAAACTTTGTCAAGTGCTTTGGTAAACAATATGCTACCGTCCAAATATCTGAGTGAATAGTGGGTCATTTGGTATCTCACCCGTTCCGAATCTACTTCACGGCCAGAGTCAAAAAATGTCAAATGCAATACATAAAGTTATCTGCTATTTTATGAAAAAGAGCGTACACAGTAAGATTAGCTACTTTGCTTCCACCCAGAAGCAACAAATCATCGGTCTCGAGAACTTCGCACGGAATCTCTCAGTCTAGTAGATGGGATACATAGACAAGATGGGTTACGGTGCTTAAGCAAGGTAAAAAAAAGTAACACAAAGACGAAAATCGTTAGGAAAGTGCAACTCCTTGCGAAGACAACGTTCTTTATACTAATGTATGAATATCAACATGGATCCGGTCAGATGTGGCGCGGATTTTATAATAGTCTAGATTTGAGTTTCCTTGAGACTGATTGACGAACTCCTTTCACAAAGGCACCCTTTAAGGTTTAACAGATCTGATGATATAATGAATGAATAGTATTACTACATTCTATCTACATGATTCATTGTGGACATTTGGAATTTACCTTCCTTGACAGCTTGCAAAAT